TGTTTGGATATAAACAATAAAGAATTGTGTATGGAAAGTGGTATATCCCTATGGACATTTTCTCATAGGACTGTAATTCTGCACCAAATCTCTTATGAATTGTGTCACTGCTGTACTTAAGGAGATCACAACAACCATTAAAACTGAAGTATTGCCATCTATTGTTAGGTTGTTGTTCCTGTTTTGAACTGTTATACTTGTTTAATACCATAGAAGATTTATTTTCTTTCATTCTTTCTTCTGTTTTACTGTCTAAATATTAAAATTAGAAGTGTATCTTCACATGAATGTCTGTCTGAGTCCCAATTGTGACACTTCTAGTATTTGTGAAAACACACTTGTTAATCCAATGTTTTAATTTCTCTTCCACCAAGATTTTTAAAATTGCTTTATTCCCCCTCCCCCACCATTGTAGAAAAGTAAATGTTATTATCTATACTTATTACTTGTTAAGAACCTATTGTAAAGGCTCGTAAAGAATCACTGTCATCTTCATCCCCTTTTTCAAGTATATCAGATTTTGCTTCCGTTGTTTGTTGGTGTCAACCTTGCTCTTTTTGCAAATGTTTTTTAGACAGTCAAACCTCAACTGAATTTCTCAGCAGGGATTTGCCTGTTCATTTTTATAGCTTATATTAAATGTGAGACTCCTAATTCCTACTGTTTCTGTTGTTCCTATAGCAACTAGATAGGGGGAGATGCAGCAGCATCACTTCGCTTCCCAGCTGGTGTTTGTGTTCTCAGCAAGGGGGGAGAGTATGAGGAAAATAGAGTATGAGTTAGGATGTAACTGGTTGAAAAGTATACTCCTTTCTGGGTTGTCTCACCCAACTACTACTCTAGAGGAGGTAGTTAATGATTTTAAGCAGGACTTCTCAAACTTTCTTTATTAAAATTTTGTCCTCTTTTATAGAAACACAATTTACTCTAAGTATGTGCCAGCTTTTGGTCTTTCAGCTGCTGCTTGGTTCTTGATGGTTCCTTGCAGCTAAAATGCCGTTTTCTTCATCAAATGGCTAACAGTAGGATTTGTTTCAGGAACTAGGCTGGTGCTTATGACTTATATGTAGCCTGAATATAAATTAAGTGTGGGGCTTTTTCATTCCTGCTTTTTAATCTGATTTTTGTAGCTGTCCAGTAACTATAGTATACTAGGCTATAGTTTTATTGTCAACTAAGTGACGATCTTGGAGTAAAATGTTTTGATATTTAAATGCTACATTTTCAGAGATTACTAAGAACTAAGGTAGAGCTAACATGTTCTACCTTCTCCAAGAAGCAGAGGTTGTTTGAATTCTCCTTCAGTAGTCCTTTCTCTTACCTCACAATGGAAACCTTCCTAGCATAGTTTCCTGGGGATCTCTGATGCCAAATTGCTCCCTCTGAAGTAAACCAAAATCTTTCATCCATACCTGAGCACTTGAGATTCTGCTGCTTTGCCTTGATGCCTCTTTTTTAGCCAAGCACTACTGCTCTATGAGGGTTGTGTTTCTCTCACCGTGGTATATGCATTGTGAAGACTCTGCGAAGAGTTTTACAATATTCAAGCCATTATTATATAAAACAACCACAAAATATTTAACGTATATTTTAAGCTCCTCTGAAGCTGTTTATTTTTATTAAATAAAAATTCATGGGCACGGGAACTGGATATTATACATTGCATCTCAAGAAGATGGGTCCCATCTGGTTTAGCATATGTACATTGAAAAGCCTTTCCTAGCCAGAACAGCTCTGATTAGCGAGAGGAACTTAGAAAGTGCTGATTAGTAGATAATCAAGTGGTTAATTTGCTCATGTGGGAAATAAGAGGTTGAGATGTAGCCTTCTTGTTACTTAAGAAACAGGTTGGAACCAAGACTTCTCACCTCTCAGGAAGGTGCCACAATGCAAGGCGTTACTGACACAGTGGGGATCCCGCAGGCATCAGGTTACACCATCCATGAAATCCCTGCTGGCTTCACACTGGTGGTGGTGCCTCAGGAGAAGTGTTTGCTCTTTTGCTCAATTGAAGTTTTTAATAGTCTCCCATTTTATTCCTTCCCTGTTTCCCCTGCCCCTGACTCTCTCAGAGGGGTTCACAAGAGCTAATGAATGTGACATCTGCTAAGTTCATATATCAGTTTGTTCCTCTGCTGTGTGCCTAAGCAGGGTTCCAATCCTCAGTGGATTACGTATTAGAACAGATTCAAATTTTAATCAGAACAACATCTCTTCTAAACACTCTGGCTTTAAAAGTGTATAAATGGACAAGTCTCTTGCTTCCATAGACTCTGACCTAGTGTATCTCCTGTATTCCTTGGACCACTGAGTCTCCTAGGGCTTTGGGGAGTGTTTCTGAGGCTGAGGATGCTGGGGCTATCCAGTCTCTAGAAGAGAAGGCTCATGTGGGATCTTACCAATATATATATGTGGTTTATAAGTGTGAATAAAGAAAACTGAGCCAGACTCCTTGCAGTGCTGTCCAGTGAACAGGAGGCAATAGATGTAAATATAATATATTGATACATCTTTTTTACTGTGAGAGTGGTCAAACACTGGAAGTTTCAGAGAGAGGCTGTGAAGTCTCCACTTGTGGAGAAGTTTAAAACCCAACTTGGCTCAGGCCTGAGCAATCTGTGGTAATTTGTAACTCTGCTTTGAGGCATGGCTATCTCCAGAGGTCCTTTCCAACCTGAAATATTCTGTGAATATTGTGGAATATGTCAGCAGGTACAAGAGTTGGGAGCTTTTTTTTCTGTGAATAAATTGCTGCTTGGAGAATATTATATTGCCAGAGATAGAATATGGCTTCTGTGAGTTGTTCTGAAAGTCCTTTCTGCTTAGATTTTAATTTTTATTTTATAAAATCTTCTGAAGTTAGAGTGTTTATTTCTTGCAACCTAATTCTTTTATTAGAAACAACCTGACCTATAAATCAGTGCAGTAATAACATTTTTATCAGCTTGCTTCACTTGACAAGTAAATGCATTTTTATAGTGCTTAAAATCCAATCCTGAATGTAAAGGTCTGTTGAAGTATTTTTGATTCTTAGAATCATTAAGATTGGAAAATCCCTCTAAGATCAAGTCCAACCATTAACCTCACACCACCATGTGTAGAATTAAACCATTGCCCGCAAGTGCAAATCCTCATTTTTTGGAACACTTCCAGGGATGGTGATTCTACCAGTTTCTTGGGCAGCCTGTTCCAATGCCTGCAGCTGCAGCTTCCCAGCCACTTTTCCCCAGCCTGCAGCACTGCATGGGATTGTTGTGACCCAAGGGCAGGACCCAACACTTTGCCTTGTTGAACCTCATGCATTTGGCTTTGGCACATCAATCCAGCAAACTCATCATACTCAACTCTAAATCAAAGTTGCTAGCAAAAGTTTAGGAAGATGTTCATCAAGAAAACTGGAGTTTTGCTCCCTTGGTTAGGACAATTGTATCCATATGATTTCTAACAGAGGTAAAAGGTAGTGTGAACTTGCATGCATCTCTTGCTGCCTGGTTAATGACTATGCAGAAAGTGATTATTCTGTTTCTGGAATATTCAATTCAGAGTAGTACATAAATGTGCAACCAGAGTTCAACAATTGCCTTGAGGTGTTGATTTTATTGTAATTAAATATTAGCTAAGAGCAAGCATCATCTTTCTCTTTCCTAGATTTAGGAAATGGTTTGTGTTTTCCAAGAAGGGAGTCTGTATTGCCTCTTGAATGGTTCCAGTATATGTTGGACAAAGAAAAGTCAGTGGTGGTGTTGAGAATTACAGATTAAAAAGGGAAGAATGAAAGAGGTGTCTGGAAAGAGAGGCAGTGATTGGAGCCAGGGAAGAAACAAAGTTAGCACTGGGTATGGAATGGGAAGAACAGCTTCCTGGGGAAAGGAGAAAGAATAGGTGAAGTAGAGTGCTTTTTTTGTTTGTTTCCTTTTTCAAAAAAGTTAAAGGTGTGTGATTTTGAGTCAAATTAGTAACCCTAGTTTGAGTGTTTAATTTCAGGTAAATAGCAGCAAGAAACTGAGAATTTAAGTGAGATTCTGACGTTGGTTTTCTGGACATCTCTTTCAGATTCTTGAACAAATCCCGCTTGAGCAGAACCCTCTGCAGACATTAAAGATTTAAATATAATTATTGTTTGGATGAACATTCCAAAAATTCTGCTTTGAAGCTTTGTTATGCATCTCTTCATTCAAATCACTTAATGTTTTCAATCTTGTTTACTTTTTACAGCTGTTAACACAATAGGACAAAAGCTTCCAAGGAATGACTATTGATGTTTGAGGGAACCTAGATTCTAATTGCAGAACAATTGCTGTGATGTCATGTGCAGATTTTATGTGGCATTCACAAACAGCTGGTTGCAAACAAATAGATTGCAAAAAATGCCTATAAAGGTTTTGTTCTACTTGTAAAGCTGCTGTCTGCACTGTCAAAAGCTTTTGGGATGTGGCTGTGTGTGAATACTCCTGTTTCAAGAGAATTCTCATAGCATGAAATCAACTTTGTGGGAAAAAAGTTCTTTTGCCCATGTGATTTTTATCATTCATACACTAAAAAGAAGCACAGCTCTAAAAATGTAGTTAGGATGAAAACAAAAGTGGCTCTCAACTATGCATTTGTATATGAAGATTTGGTATCACTTTAAGTTATACCAGCAAAAGTGGTTCTTGCCAGATTATTGATTTGTAGCATAAAAGTTAGGCTAATATAAAACTTTCCTCTAGAAGAAAATCTCTGCAGTGAATAGAATTTTTCTAGTAACACTAGAAATGCACACTTACTTAAAGAAGGCATTTCTTATTGTGAAATGTCAAAGTGTATTTCTGTTTTCTAATTGTGAAATTGGTAACTAGAGATAAAAACTACATGTCAGCAAGATAAAGGTATGGTAATTTTAGACTTCTAAGGGTGTTTTTGTAAATGTTTTCATTATAAAATAAATGTATGTAATTTTATTATTCTCAGAAATAATCATCAAAGGCTGATCAGCTAAAAATTCTGCTTTTGTTTTCCAGAAACCAGCAAACATTTTGGTAATGGGTGAAGGTCCTGAAAGAGGAAGAGTCAAAATAGGTAAACTTTTTGAGAAAATTTAATTGTGCAGCTAAGAGATTACTGTAATAAAAAAATTCATATTCTGTGTAAGATAGAAACAGATCTTCAGTATTCTCTGAGTGTATGTATCTACAACCTCTAGTTCAATTTTAAATCTCATTTGCTGACTTCACAGACTTAAGAAATTCCAAATATATTATTAGGCTTTTCTAAACTTGCCAAGGGTATTGGATGAGACATAAATGCATCTGTATGAAACAAAAAAGTAATAAGCACAGAGAGCAGTGATGATGACCAGGGTTCTTTTGACTTCTACTGTCATTAGTTAGCATAAGTTAGCATTGTTACTTATAAACTGTTTGGTTTTTTTTTTTTTAATGTATAAATAACATTACTGCATATGTTTGTAGAGATCCAGAGGTTTGTTATGCAAAAGTTATTTGGTGTCAAGGTGATTAACACATGTACCTGTGACAGTCCTTATCCAAAATCTAATTCCCTTCTCAGTTTTAGTGATGTGGATATTATGTTTTCTAAATAAATCATGTGGCAATACTGAAGCTTGTGTGAAAGAAAAGTTTCAGATTTTAATTGGGTTTAAAATGAATGTGTTTGATGGTACACCAAATTTTGTACTTTCCCATCCAGCATTTCTTACTGTTACTTACCAGGCTCATTCTAAGGAGAATTTTTGAGTTGTATAGAATGAATGCTTAGTTTTAAAATACACCTCTGTGCACGCTGACTGACTCTGGAGCTCATTCGTCCAAATCATGTAGGAAGCATGCCTTGAAAAATAGTGCAAAAACAATCTACACTGCAGTCATTTTAATTTTGCACTTTGGGTAATTATATAGCAGTCATAAGGACTCACAGTTTTATAAGTATGTATAAAAATAAAGGAGAAAATGTACATTAGAGACCTACTACTGTTGACTTCAGTTAACCAAGTTTCTGTTACAGTTTTAAAAAATGAACAGGCATCTGTGTTATGTAAAATTCTACAATACCATAATGAAAACACATCAGATGTTATGCTTCATAGTTTTAGGAATGAACTAAATGGGATTTAGCCTTAGAAGAATTTGATCCAGTATTGTTGTAAGTAGTTTTTGGTTTGTTAGAAACTTTGAATTGTAATTTTTAATGTTTTCGAGCTGTTGTTGTAATTGTTTTTGACAATACTATTGAATTTTGATTTATTTGTATTAAAATTTAAATAATCTTCTCATTTTTTCTCCCCATTCCCCAGCTGATATGGGTTTTGCGAGATTGTTTAACTCACCTTTGAAGCCATTGGCAGACTTGGATCCAGTTGTGGTGACATTCTGGTACAGAGCTCCAGAGCTGTTACTTGGGGCCAGACATTACACAAAGGCCATTGGTAAGTTGTCCTGTAAGAAAGATGTTTGCCTGCAAGCTCTGTAAGGATAGCAGCCTTATAATAGAGGGGATGGTCAGCTGACCTGCTAGTTTAGGGGTTTTGTCACTGAAGTAGTTGCAGATGATCCCATCCATAAAGGATTAATCAAGATTAAAACTATTTGAGGACTGTGCTTTTATATTTCAATATAACCTAGATGTTTTAAATATATACCTTGTTTTGTTTTTAAAACAAAAATATCCTTTGAATTGGTTTATGTTTTCTTAATATTGACTTAGAAATCTTGTAATGTTGTGAACCTTTGAAGGGGAAAGAGCTGTGGCATTCTTGTAGGGTGTCATATGGGTGGTTATATCTTGTAGGGTGTTATATGTTTCTATGAAATGTGTGTCTTGATAAACAGAAGGCTGGACTCCTGTGCTGTGCAATCTGCAAATCATTTCCTCCTGATGAGTTACATGGCTCCATGTTCAGGAAATGCTGGTAGCCAGGTTCTTTTCTGCCCTAGTAAGTTCTAGAAGCACAATCAGCCTCGGTGCCCAGCTGTTCGGAGAATTAAAGCATTGAGGTGCATGGGAGGCATGGTTGGCTTATATATTGAACTGCAAAGGAAACAGTGACCCTCTCTTAATAGTGTTAAATCGTTCCTATGAGTACAAAGGTGGCTTTCTTGGCAGGCATTTTTCTGTTACAGAAATTTTTGGAGATGCTCTGTGGGCCTTTGTTCAGAGAGTTACAAAATACTGTGTTGCACTGACATCTCAGTTTGAGTGTTCTCTTGGGTGGAGCAACACTTTTAAGGCTCATGGTGTGTTTTTTAAAAATAACTCCTGTTTATTCAACTACCATATACAGCAAGAGGTTTGGAGAATGAGTGAATTGACACCTGACTTTTTGATGTAGACTTGCATTTCCCATTTCTGTCACCATGATATTTTCTGAAAAATCCTTTGCCAGGATTTTATGCTGAGAAGCCTCAGAAAAAAACATGTAAGCAATAACTATCAGATGGATGTGGAATGTGGTCTGGGCATTGTTTACCAACAGGTGCATCTTAGATTGGTCCATATGGATTGTTTCTACTTAATGACCAATCCATGGTCATATAAGCTGTGTCACACTGTCTCAGAGTCACAAGTTTTTGTTACTCATTCCATTCCTTTCCTTTCTAGCTCTCTGATGGATCCTTTCTCTCTATTCTTTTTAGTATAGTGTTAGTAGAGCATTTTAATGTAATATAATACCATAATGTAATAAATCAGCCTTCTGAAACATGGAGTCAAGATTCTCATCTCTCCCCTTGTCCTGGACCCTTGAACACAACCACACATTTCTTTATTGTATTCTACTTCCATTTGAAATCCTCCGGTGCAGGAATTTATTTGTATACTCTAGGAGAGATCTGCAGCAAAAGCTGAAGTATCAGGAGTGAGAAAAATCTCATCCATTTCAAAACCAAAGACCCGGTCCAAAGAAAAATACTTACTGCAAACAGATTCAGTCTGGTCAAAAGGGACTTTGGGAGGTTTCTTGTTTCGTCCTCCTGTTCAAAACAGTGCCCACTATGAATTCTGCCTGGTCTGTTGAGGGGCTTGTCCAGCTACATCTTGAAAACCTCTAAGAATAAATATTTCACACCCTCTCTGGTTAACCTGTTCCACTGCAAAATCGTCATCGTAGCTAAGAAAAAAAATTTTATATACTTAGTTACAACTTTTTGTTTTGGTTTATGCTGATAATCTCTCACTCTCCTGTTGTATGCCATTGTAAGAGCCTAGCTCCATCATCATGGTCACCTCTGTGTAGGTTCTGGTGAGGCTGCTCATAGATTCCTCTTCAGTCTGAACAAGCCCATGTCCCTCATTATCCTCTCCTGGAGCAGGTTCTCCAGCTTCTAACCATGCTGGTTACCTCTGCTTCTTGCCTTTGTTACTCCACTGTCTCATGGTTGTTAGAGTCAAGACTGCCATTGATTATCATATCCCCAACCAGGTTCTTCCTTCTTCCTCAGCAGCAGATCTGAGGGATGAGACATATAATTTACTCCTAAGTCCACTAGAAATCTTTTCAGCATCCCTGAAGTGACCTTGTTTATGTTCTGTTTGTTCTCCATGATGCCCCATGGTCTGCTCACCTCCTTCCACGGCTCCTTTTGCTGGTGTGCCAGTGCCCCAACCAAAGTGTCTCTCCCAGTGTGAGGCCAGTGTCACCCTGCAGACTGACTCCTGTGTGGTGGCACCCTCCCTCTAGAGCTCTACCTCACCTGAGACAGAGGCATCCCAGGGCATCCGCTCCATTGGGAGCTGGGGATGGAGCCTTGTAATGCCCCTGTCCCCTGCACGGTTTTGGGACAGTCCCCTGGTGGCAGGAGCAGACTCTAAGGGCCTGCTTCGCATCTCCCACTATGCAGACTGGGCTGTTAACTGCTAAGTCTGTGTTTGTTGGAGTGTTTGAAAGAAAATGCCAAGAGGATTGCCTCAAACACCTGCAAATTAGATGCTTAAATTGCCCTGTGTTCATAGTGGAAAACACTGATGTGAATGGACCAGATTACTGAGTGACCTGCGTGTGTGGTACAGGGAAGTTACCTCAGCTGACAGCTACCTGGTTTGATAGATGGCATATTGTTTGGAGATTTGGGTGAGTGATATGTACCACTATCTCAGGGTATCTCTTTGAAGGATGAATTAGTATAATGCTGTTGTTTGTTTAATTATGTCATAAATAACTCAGTTCTTGCCCTGAGGGATCTCTAGTCTGTACGAAAACACAGGCAAGAAGTTCCTATGAAACTTCAGGGGATGATGGTACTTTGGAGAGATCTGGTTTTGCTAGAAGTTTATTATTTCTGAGGCTTTTATTTCTTGTATCACACCAGTGAGTCACCCAGGAGGGGTGTGAATGGTTACACAGTGCCTGGCATGCAGCGGGAGCGCTGAGGGCACTCAAAACTGTTTGGGCAGAAAAATAAAAAATAAGGAAATGAAAACAAGGAGAGTTGCAAGTTGAGACTTGTAGGCTGACTGAAGGATTAGAGGAGCATGTGACTGAAGAGAAGAGAAAAGAAAAAAGGTACATGGAGCTGATCTATGTGCAGCTTTGAGGCAAAGAAAAGTGAGTAACAAAATGACAGTAGTGATGATGTTCATGCAGTTTATTGAGTCCAGACTTGTGTTTTGCTTCTAGCACTATGTGCACTTAAAAAAAGACCATTTTCATGAGCAAAGCATGCTAGTGAGAGTATAATTCGAATGCTCATTTTTTTTTGGCAAAAAAGACTGAAATTAGAATTTAACTTTTGACTTGTTCAGGATTTTTGTCTTTGATTTCTGGACTGGATCTTAGTTACATTTTGTAGGCTCAAGTTTCAGGGAAAATTACAGTAAATACAATCTGTTTAGGAAGTGCTATATCTATTACACATAACAATACATAAGCATATTTTATTATTTTAGGTGTGATTTTTCAGTGATATTTGTAGTTGATTTAGTTTGTCTTTTCCTACTAATTAAATATTCTACTTTTAAGTTATTTCCTTGCAGAACAGATAGTTGTTCATCCTATATATAAAATCATGTTTTAAAGAGATGTAGGAATCAAGAAAATACTGCTGTTGGAAAACAGAAATAGCTTTTGCTTTCTGCATCTTAAAAGGATAATAAAAAGCCCATGTTAGGGTTTCATGGAGATTAGTATTTAATTTCCTGAATTGTGAATGTTTGTTATGTAAGCCCTACTTGTTAATAAAAGCAATATTAATATTAAAACATAAATTTATTGATATATTAAAAGTAAATTTATTTAAATTACTATTAATAAGTAATATTACACGTGTAATACCTGCTGCCATAGTTACAAGTAACTAACTTACCAGATGAATGCACATTGGGAAAATGGTGTTGCAGAAGTCAAAGTTCATGCTCTATTCCATTGCCACAATATGAATTTGTACTAAATTCACTATAGCCTGGGAAGGTTTTCTGTATATTCAGCTTCAGAATTCAAAACCAGAATATGTTTCTCTGTATTCATCAGGTCTTAATACTTTAGCAAAGATATAAAACCTACAAATAAAAGTAACTTGAACAAGCTTCAGGTGAAACCAAGTAGCTGCAAAAATGTAAATTGCTTACGATCATAGAAACTTTAATAAAATTACTGAACAACTAGAAAGTCCAGCAGAACCGAAAATACTTAAAATACTTAAACAAGGTTGAAGTAAGTGCAAGGTACAGTGCTCCTTTCATGTATGGGCAAAGACTTCTGCAGTTTAATTTTAAGGAAACTAAAGGAAATTACTGTGGTAAAATGAAGGAAAAGTTAAGCTGACTTTGAGCTTGAAAGGAGACATTAATCAGAGTGAGTTTTTTCACTCTGGGAACATCAGATTAGAAAAGAATGTTTTAGTAGGTAAAGCAAATAGTAAGAGCTCTTTCATCATAGGTTTTTAGGAAAACATGTGGCAGTCTCCAATATGATTCATTCTGGGGCATCTTGTAGCATATCAAGGTAATAACATAATTATGACTATTTTTTATCAAGCTGCAGCTTGTATAGTTATCAGTGCTATCAAACAAGCCTGTTATCTTACCTCTCTTTACCACTTGCCTTAATTAAAGCAATAGCATGTTTGATAAATGGCTTCAGATGACTTATAGTATTTTAGATGGTTTGGATTTTGTTGACAAAAGAATTCTTTAAAGTGATCATTCAGCCACCCATTAAGCAAGGCTAAAACACTGTCCTGAACCAAAAAAAAAGGATGGGCTTGTTTATAGTGAAAAAATAAATCTGGAAACCTGAGAAATCTCAATTTCTTAGGTACCTTTTTGCCCTAGTCTAAGTTATAGGTCAGCAGAAATGTCAGAAATGGCTGTGTGGTAACTGCATTTACCAGCCCAAATGAGACTTAGGTGTAGAGAAACTGTAATTCAAAGCCTGGGTAGTGCACTGTCACCTTATTCTATTTCCAGAGTACCATGGAAGCTGGAAATGTGTGA